CTGTATTGTTTGCTTAGTTTAAATCGCAAATTCGTAACTTCTAAATAAATCGAAGCAAATAATTAAAAAATGTGCAGTTTTAGGTGCAAAACTTTATGTCAGTAACGATTCGAAAAATCCAGTCAGTTTTTGGAACCTTTTTGCTAGCGCCTCTCTAAGAAGCTGTATTTCCTGCTTAGTTTAAATCGCAAATTCGTAACCTCTAAAAAATCGAAGCAAATAATTGAAAAATGTGCAGTTTTAGCCATAAAATACCCTGTATCTCGGTAATGGTTCGAAAAATCTAGTCACTCTTCAGAACCTTTTTGATAGCGCTTCTGAAAAGCTGTATTTCTGGATTAGATTAAATCGCAAATTCCTAACCTCCTAAAAAGTGGAAGCAAACTTTTCAAAAAATGTGCGGTCCCTGTCATAAAACACCCTGTATCTCAGCAACGGTTTGAAATATCGAGTCGGTCTCCGGAACCATTTCGCTAGCGCGACTAGAAAACTGCACTTTCCACTAAATGTAAATCGCAAATTTCTAACTTCTAAAAAGCGGAAAGCAAATATTAAAAATGGGAGGTCTCAAGCATTAAACACCCTGTAGCTCGGTAACCGTTCGAAATATCCAGTCAGTCTTCGGAACCTTTTCGATAGCGCGTCTAAAACCCTGTATTTTCCTACTCAGGTTTAATTGCAAATTGTCAACCTCTTAAGAGCTAGAAGCAAAACTCGTCCGAGTGTTTGCTCGCTGATCTTATGAATAGTTCACGATTCGAGTGTTTGCACCAAAAACAATTTCAATTAGTGGCATCAACACGTGAAATCGAAATATCGTGAACAAACCGGAGCTCGTTAACACGCAAAGCGAGCCTCCCGTGATGGAACATGCCGAAATCACTGGCCTGCCAATTGCTCAAGGTGGAAATTGAATGTTAATCGTTCAGGAAAATCATGTTAAATTGTCATTCGCAGCCGGTTCAAGCAGGTTATTCCATCCACTAATCACCCAGTTTTAGGTGCTTTGCACCCAATTAACTCTGTTCCATCGCAACGACCGCACATAATATTTATTCTGGCTGAGCTGCTGCCATTTTCAACAGCCAATCTGCAGGCAGGCGATCCAGAGGCCGCGACCTTCTCGATTAGAAACAAAATTCACCAGTGTCATCCACACTGCATACGCCGAATTATCAACATCAACCCTGACCTCTCGTTTTTTCCGTTGAAAAATACTGATTAATTTGATAAAAAATTTATTTAAAAAATGACGTTGTTGCAGTCAATACAAGTGGAGGCGTTTTGAGTGACCCCAATGGGGTCTCGGCCGCCTCCAATGCCTCCCTGCCCGCCTTCAATCGGCTCTCGGGGTTCCAAAACACCCCCCGACCTGGAACTTACAGCCCAATCACATATCAGGATTTTTCCTATGCGGACCCCACCGGATACAACATTAGTCCGGCGGCGACGCCCAGAAACAGGATGAGTGCAGCAGGAACTCTCTCAGCAAGTAAGTGATCAAAAACTTATTTTTTTTCTCGATATGGAGGTTTGGGTCAAAACTGGATGATTTGGGAATAGTTTCCCCCCTTTTGGGGTGTCTGGAACTCTTATTTCTCCTAAATCATTGACTGGATATGAAAACTCTTAACTTGTAAAGAGATACAGGCAAAATTGGCCAGGATCTTTCGCAATCCTCCAAGCCTAAACACTCTGTCTGTACCTATCTCAGAAAAGGTTCTAGAGATCCAGTGACTTCTATGGATCTTTTTGAAGGCCCTAATCGAAAACTCTCGTCGATCAATTGGGTTTTGTCCTTTTGTACCTCCAGAGAGCCAATCAAAGCAAATTTTTGGGTCGTTGAAGCCTAAAACACCCTGTGTCTCAGAAACTAATGGAAATTTTCACTTAGTCTCCAGAACCTTTTCGATAGCCCAAGTCGAGGACTGTCTGTCGATCGAGATTTTTGCAGAAATTTCCTCCTGAAAAGAGTTCAAAGGGTAAAACCCTCTGTATTGCAAAAGCGCTTTGAAGTATCCAGTCAGCGATCAAAAAGTTTTGAATAGTGCTATAGGATGGAGGTTAGGATATTTTATCAAATATTTCTAACCTCTAAACAGATACAAGCAAAGTTATGCAAGGTTGGTGTTTGAAGCACAAAACACCCTGTATCTCAAAAACTGTGCGAAATATCGAATCAGTCTTCTGGACATTTTCGATAGTTCATTTCGCAATCGCTTGTTTGTCATTTAGGTTTAACCAAATATTCCTAACCTCTGAAAATATGGAAGCAAAAATTCCAAAAAATCGAGGTACCCAGCACAAAACGCCCTGTATCTAAGAAACGATTGAAAATAATCACCTAGTCGTCAGGACTTTTTCGATAGTCCCTGATAAGTACTGTCTTTGAGCATATTGGTTTTGCAAACATTCCAACCTCTAAAGAGATTGAAACGAGAAAATAGTGTGTTGAAGTTCAAAGGGTAAAACGCCCTGTATTTCAATAACGGTTTGAAATATGCAGTCAGTCTTCAGAATCTTTTTGAAAGACCATTTGGGGCTCTATCATTCAATAATGACTTATTCAAATATTTCTAACCACTGAAAAGATAGAAGCAAAAATATCGAAAATTGGAGGTATCGGGCACAAAACACCATGTATCTGAGAAACGATTGGAAATATTCACTTAGCCGTCAGCATCTTTTCGATAGCTCATTTCGCGATCCATCTTTGATCATTTAGCTTTAATCAAATATTCCTAACCTCT